TCCCACGCCTTGGTTAGTATCCAAAAATTTACCTATAACTTTTAACCTGCTAGTTTGGATTTTGGATTATATTTTCCTAACTTGATCTTATTTCTATTGTCCAAAATTACTACGATAATGACGTGAAGACAAGCCAACAAGAGTTTCTTCTCAAATCCAAGGCCGGTCCTAAGGATTCATCAGCCTGTGTCGGAACAGAAAAAAGGCCCCCAAGTCTTATCTTTATTGGTCTAAAAAATTTACATATGTAAACTAATTATATTTAAATTATTATTAACACAATATTATTAGAAGAAAAAAATAAATGACAAAATTATTTAGGAGTCATAGCTATTGAATTATTTAAATAAAATCCAAATTCATAAATTCTACCAAGTAAAATCAAGAATAAAAAAATAAAAAAAGCAAATAAATAAATAAATAAATATACCATAAATTAATATCAATTCGTCAATTTTTCTTTTTTTAATTTTTTTTTCTTTTTCAGTTTTAATTTTTTTATAAATCATAAATTAATATCAATTCATCAATTTATCAGTTTTAAATTTTTTTTCGGTTTAAGTGTTTTTTAATATAAATATATAATTATCATAAATAACAAATTCAAATCAATTCATCAAATCAAATAAATAACATATAAAACTATTCATTCATTCTATTTCAAAGAATGAAATTAGAAAACATTTCAGATTAAAAACTAAGGATTAACCCTAGATTTTAAATCTAAAAAATGAATATTTAAGAAATAAAAATTACAAAATTGGAAAGGGAAGGCTATGAATAATTATCTGGAGGGCGCGACTGGGCGTCTGGCGGTGGAGGCGGCGAGTCGGGCAGTCGGCTCTCTTGTTTCTTCCGGTCGCTGCGTTTCTTTGATCGGCACTTCACAGTTGCACTTTAGTTTTTCTTCCGTTTTTGGTCTACAGAATACGGATGGACCGGGCTAGTGCTAGAGGTAATAAGCTAAGTGATGGGTACTGGGCCTGGGCCTATATACATACATACATACATACATACATACATACATACATACATACATACATACATACATACATACATACATACATACATACATACATACATATATATATACATACATACATACATACATACATACATATATATATATATATATATATATATATATATATATATATATATATATATATATATATATATATATATATATATATATATATAAAATACTTTAATAAAAAAATTGTGCCCCTAAAATTTTTGGGCCCGACTCGGACGCACACCTTATCCCCCTATTGGGTCGGCCCTGCTCAAATCCACAAGTCTTTTGTGTTTCTAGGGGCACATAAGTCACATCATGCCAAATTGGGTTTACTTGTACTGTTCAAATAATATTAGATTAGGTAAAATCATTAATTAATCACGCATGGATACTCATTGTCGAGTAACCAGGTACTTGGTTTCGCGTAACAAAATAAGCAATTTTTAGAGATTGAATAATCATTTTCGAGCATAAATAAATTTTAGAAAAAATGAGTATTTCGTTACTCGAGAATGAGTATTTACTTGCTCGAAAATGAGCATCCAATTACTCATAAATGATCACTCACAAACCAACCGTGGAAAACACCATACAACTGGTTGTACAGTATATATTGCGTAATAAAACGAGACATTATAGAGACGAGATGGAAATATATCTACTGGGAACAACCGTTTCTGAATTTTGCCAAGGGATGACAACGAGTGGGATTCTGGTAGGATAGTACTATACCCAAACCTGATCCGACTTTTAAAATTGAAACCTGAACCAGATCTGAAACCTGACCTTTTATGCCAAAAATCCAACCCGACCCGAATCTGACATTTAAACCCAAAATTCGAACCTGAATTTGTAATTTAACTAATAATCAATTCGGCGTACCTTAATAATTTTAAAAAGATTAAATCTAATTTTTATTATCTTTTTTTTTGTCTCAATTTTTTATTAAAGAATTATAAAAATAATAATAAAAGATATACTTGATATATTAGCACCTTGTCAAAAGATTATGCAAGTGCTCATCCTTTATCCTTTATATATATTATTTGAGACTCGGGCTCACAGAATATCGACATGTGGCGGGTCTATTTGGCAAGTTTTTTATGAGTCATCCGCCACCTTTGAAGAGTTTAATGACTTGGCACCTTTATATTAAAATATAGAAAGATCCAATTCTAATTAAAATGTCTAATATATACGGAGTACCTTATACGGCGACTAGAATATAATTACGAAGTAGAAAATTAAGAAGATAATTAGGATGAGTATTTCTTTGGTGCACCTTGAGTGCATATCATTTTTGTGGAGCTTCTCACATAAAATATTTTTTTATTTCTTTAATTATAAAAACAAATGCTTATTTTAGTAATAAAGAAATACTTATTTTGCTCAAATGTACGTCTATGGTACACCTTAAGTCCACCATAGAATTTGTCGAGAATCATTAATATGTTTAAAACGAAATTCATAGATTGAAATAAGACTTTCAATGCGTTAAACCAACGATAATATATAATTTTAGAATTATTGAAGATATTTTTTGAAAAAAATGCATACGCAGTATTGACTACTTAAGTAGATATTTGAAGAAAATTATACTACATCTGTCCCATAAAATTTTTCAAATAGAAAGAAAGGCATCCCATAAAACTTTTCAAATTAGAAAAAAGGCGCACCCTAAAATCATTTATCCTACACATCATACCGTATTACCTTATTATAAAGTAAAGGAAAAGTTTAAAACTAATATGAAAATTAGATATTTTTAAAGGAGTTCAGTGTTATGTCATTTCTAGATGATAGTCTTCTTAATAGATTTCAAAATAATTTCTTGATTGAGAACTTGAACTATGACAAAGAAAAATTGTCATTTGATTTTAGAGGATATTTATCTACGATGAATGAAGATCAAAGAAAGATATCTGATGTGATAATCGAAATCTAATATCTAAAAGAGGATGTTTCTTTTTTATATATGGTTACGGGAGACTACTTGGGAAAACATTTATATAGAAACCAATGTCTACTTCTCAAGAACGAATGGTATGTAAGGCTGTTTTGAATGTTGCATCCAGTGACATTATAGCATTGCTTTTGCATGGTGGAAGGATAGCACACTCGAGATTCTCAATCTTTCTGGCTTTAACTGAGTGCTCAATGTGTGCTATAAAACAAGGGGGGTCTGAAAGCAGAATTAATATAACAAGCAAGTGGAATCATATGAGATGAAGCATGTGTGATGAATAGATTTGTTTTTGAGGTACTGGATCACACAATGAGAGAGATATTGAGGTTCTACAATAATAACTCTAGAAATGAACCATTCAGAGGAAAAATATTAGTACTCGGAAGTGATTTTTGCCACTTCCTTCCAATTTTACCAAAGCTTCGAGAGAGAAAATTATAGGTGCTACCGTGATTTCCCCAAAATAGAGGTTGTATTGTAAAGTTTTTACGTTGAACAAGAATAAGATATTGCATTCATCTATGTCCTCTTACCTTAACTAGGTAAGGATACACAACTTTTTCTGATTGGATAATCAAAATTGGAGATGGAAAGCTTGGTCAAGTGATTGGTGGAATTGCTGACGTTGAAATTCTGACTGGATTCTTGATTCTTGACATAAATTATCCTCTCAAGAGTATAGTACTGGAATTCACTTATCTAAAGTTATTGGAGAATATGAAAAAATATTCTTTTTTAGGATTAGGCACCATTAGCACCCACTCTCGAAATTGTTGAAATAGTAAATGAGTTTGTCTCATTCCTCATTCTCATTAATGAAAAAGGAGTAATTGAGTTATGATTCTTAATGGCAAGCAGATGCCAATGTAGGTCTTGATGCTTATTGGATAACATTTGAATTTTTGAATGAAATCAAATGTCCGGATGTTCAGGGATCCCAAACCAATTCAAAAAATAGTTTTGAAAAAAAGGGTAGTGATTATGTTATTTGGATTGTATAATGGTACATGATTAATTATTGAAGAGGTACGAAAAAATGTTAACCGTGCAATCGTGGTTTCGAGAAATCGAGACGGGGAAATGGTTTACATACCTCGAATAAATTTGGTACCATATGATCCAAGGCTACCCCCTAAAGTTAAAAAAACAATTCCCAATAGTTTTATGTTTTGCTATGACTATTAACAAAAGTTATGGTGAAACATTATCTTTTGTTAGATTATTTTAACTAAGTCAGTATTCACTTATGATTAATTTTATGTTGTTGCTTCACGAGTGAAGAAAAATACATAATTAAAAATGTTTATTTTAGATGACAATAGAAACTATTGCAACCATACCAAAAATATTTTATACTGTGAAGTGTTTCAAAAAATTTAGATTTTAATAAGTCTTTGTTTTATATATACTTTCAATTCTTCAAATATTATTTATTCTATTTTGATGTTGATGTATATATAGTATTAAAAATCATATAAGAAATTTATTTTATTTAATCCACAAAAAATAATACATGAAAAAAAGAATTGAAAAAAAATTTGTTCGACCCCGTGCATGGCACGGGTCAAAATACTAGTTATATCTATAAAAAAGGCTTTTATGTTATACAGAGTAAAATATTTGGGTTTGAATTGAATTGGGTACTGGTCAGATCAACTAAAACTATAAACCCACCTCCAATCCGATCCAATGTGAGGGTTAGGCTGTTGGGGGTAAAAAAATCAAGTCAAGTTTGAATTGCTCCGCCTAAGCCGCCTCCCCTTAGACCTCTTCGCCGCCGCCGCCTCCACTTCGAAGTTCGAACCGTCTCCCCCGCCGCAGCCGCCTCCACTTCGAACCGTCTCCGCCGCCGCAGCCGCCTCCAGCTCACCTCGTCTTTGCCACCGTCGCCTTCGAAGTGGAGGCGGCTGGTCGCCTTCGAAGTGGAACCGTCTCCGCCGCCGCAGCCGCCGTCCACTTCGGCTCGCCACCTATAACGACGGCTCATCTCTTCCGCTTTACCCCGATCTCTCCATTGGCCGTTATCATTGCTACCACGTTCCATCATGGGTAATTAAACAACTCGCAATCTCGCATGTCACTATTTCAAGAGTTGTAGAGTTAGTAACTGTTTTGGTGCAAGGGTCATCTTTTCAGTGTGAATTTTGCAATGTGTGCATTTTTTCTCATCTATCTCACTAAAGAAGAACTATCATTTCACGACTCAATATGACATATATCAGAATATCAATATCTGAAAAAAGGAAACATCTAGTAATGAAAGATTAATATTAGGTCACTTTACCCTGACGGTTCAACTTTTTTTGTCATGAATTGATGCAATTGGAATGAGGCTTAGTTATAAATAATCTTGTAAATGGTTAGATGCCTTGATATGTCAATGCATTTGAAAAGATGATTCTGCGACCAATAGTTAAGTTTTTGACAGATATGAAGTCTCTCTCTCTCTCTCTCTCTCTCTCTCTATATATATATATATATATATATATATATATATATATATATATATATATATATATATATATATTCAGATAATAGTTCTAGTTTTCACGGCGAGAGAAGAACCGTGTGGAGGATATTTCGGAATGGAGTTACTAGATCACCGTGTTGTAGTTTTCTTTCATGCTTAAAAGTAGAAGT